GTCTTGATACTTGCTAGGTAGGTAGGTCTTGATGAGACTTCAATATGATTAGATTTTGGGCCTCTTGGCGGCTTTTTTTCAGGTTCAGTTGTTGACACAAAATAAGCACTAACATCACTATCTAGAGCTGTGTACCTAAACAAATTTTAGGTACAGGTACAGGTACAGGTACACAGGTTTAGGTACAGGTCCGGACCTGAACCTGTACCTGAACAATTCGACCAATTTATATGCTCTTCTGAACTCCTTCAATAACAAAAAAACATTAATAAACTTGATAGTTAAGGTTTATTCTTTGTTTATGGCGAATGCTCAGATGAAATATAGGCAAAACTAAAGATGTTTTTGTTTTCATGAACACACTGTCCTTACACAGGGACCGATTTGAGGTCACAAATAGGCATAAAATTGGTGTGAAATTGTTTAGGTACAGTACCGGTACTGAGGGATTAGGTATTTTGGACCTGTACCTAATCAATTTTTCCGGTACAGTATCGGTACTGCGTACCGGTACACAGCTCTATCACTATCATTATGAATTTATAAGTGATAACACTGATGACAACAAATGAGCTTGATGACCAACGCCCCAATTTCTTATTCATGACTGCACCAAAATAAAGACTATAATAGCAGGTAGAACATTAAAATATACAATATAATTCTGTATCTGTATAATATATTATGAATATACATCCATATAACACACTCTAGTCCAGCTAACACATTTTGATTACTAAAATTGCCAAGGAAGCTAGCATCATATTCATAATACTATGTATTAAGAATTGTATCTATTTAGTTTTACTATCTAGGAGATCATCAAATTAAACTACCATGACTGTGTCCTTAGTGCTATTCCTTGCTCAAATTATGTTTTCAGATGCTTAATTTCTATATTTTTACTTAAATTATTACTCTATTCCTAAATCTTAACATGAATTTCAGATGCCCACACTGTGTTCCCTTCCCACAGACCACAGTGCAGAAGTTATGCTTTATTTCTATATTTTTATTTACTTCAATTATTACTCTAATTCTAAGACTTCACATAAATTGCAAGATGCATGCTGTGTTCCCTTCCCACAAACCACAGTGTATGTGTTATGGAATGTCCCTGATATTCCCTTACTACATGTACATGTATGTGTATTTGATGGTGATTAAAACCACAATGACCCATTCCCATCCCAGTACTACACATCACACATGTGCTCGTCCGAAGGGGTCCAATTTGCGGGGCAATTTTCCTCTTGTCGGCGCAGCAATTTACGCGTTTCCACTCGCTGTCCAGAACCGCCCCCGGCGCGGAACAAATCGATACACAGATATTACCTCCAGTGGTACATGGTTAGGGTAGCAATCAAAATGTCCATCTCTATTTGGTATGTATGGTACGGCACAGGCTGGGTGCACATGTGTTAGCCTTGGCCTTATGATATGTGAGTGGTCAACCATTACAAAGTCTTCGTCACAGAGGTTGAGAAACAATAATTTTTTTAGTGTTAATTTATAATGACAGAATATATTCTCTGAGATCCATAGTTGTTTCATTATGACTTTTAGTTTTAGAGTTAGGGTAGCAATCAAAATGTCCATCTCTATTTGGTATGTATGGTACGGTACAGGCTGGGTGCACATGTGTTAGCCTTGCCCTTGGCCTTCAGTGATATAGTATGAGTGGTCAACTGTTACAAAGTCTGTGTCAAAAATTGTGAGAAACATTTAATATAGATATTATAATTTTTCTAATGCTCTAAACATAGCAATAATGTCAGGGTATATTCTATTCTCTGAGATTCACAGTTGTTTCATAATGTGACTTTATTTTATGTAGATACAATGTATCAATTTTAAGGTCCTTCATGCACCAGATGGTGCATAGGGCAGCACCCATCTCCTTTTTCAATAGCCCTTGGGCCACACAACTTTGTCCAATCACTTAAGCAACAGGCTATTCCTCTGGTACTATAGGAGAACTCCTATTGTCTTTCGCAAATGCTGGGTGCTTAGCAGAGAAAGCATGTACTCTCAGCTCTCTATTAAACGTACCGGTACGTTTATTTTTTTTCGCCTCGAAATCCGCCCGGTACGTTCTTATTTTAGACGGTACGTTTATTATTTTTTTTCAGAATCAAACCAAGTTCAGGACAAATTTTCGGTCCTGAACATAAAAGTTTGAACATAGATTTTCAAAATTAGGGATTTTATTCCAACATTTCCCCGATAATTTTCAAAATTGGGGATTTTATCCCCGATAAATGTGCTCGTCATTCCAATTTTCTTCGGCCAGGCGGCGTTGATCGAGCGCTAATCGGGCCACTATTCATTCCATTGCCGGCACAATCTTGTGAATTGACGATGAATTGTCGATCTCGCCATGACGCCGCAGAGAAAACTTTGTCATTGGTAGAAAATCTGACACCCCGCTGGCGTTTCACAACAAAATTTTAATGTAAACAACTCCGAATGTCTTTGTTTACATCGTGAAAGCTCACCGATATCTCCCGCCGGCCGGCCGCGCCCGACCACATGGTTGAGGCATGACGCTAGTTTTCGGCAGCTCGGCGGAAAAATAATCCATCCCCAGAAGAAATGTTACGCATGAAAATAACAACTACAACTTGCTTTCCTCGTTATATGAGTTTTTGAGGCCGTAAAATGTTTAAAACGGTTGAAATTTGCTCGAAAAACGGCTCGAAAATCCACGGCGAGACTGCCAAAATGGCCGACAGTGTTTCACAATAACAGTGGTCAAAGGTCAAGACTGCATCCAAATGTACAAGATACATGTACAAAGTACATATTACAATGTGCTAAAATGAAACTTTAAACGCATGAAAAAAGATTTTTCGGCTACAACTGAAATAAAAATTCACTAATATTTTTATAAGGTTAATTTTCAAACATTACTGAGAAATTTTCCGAATTTATTTTTTTTTTTTGTGTTAAAATGTAATGTTGTTTCTATGAATGTGCGGTTGGATGCTGTGATTGTGAAGTCCCTTACATTGGGAGAATCAGATGAGATATTAGAGATTATCACGCTTAGTACCGCGACCCGAGTGCCTCTCAAAAATTGTTTTTGAGTGGAGTTTATAGACATGATTTATTGTTTAGCTTTGTCAATATGTGATTTGTTTGGGAAATAGGATTTGGTTTAGTTTTTAATATATTAATGTCAGTAATATGTCAGTAATATAATATATTAAAACTAAACCGAATAGGATTTGGTTTAGTTTTTAATATATTAATGTCAGTATAATCACCTTTGGAATAACTTGCTCCAAGTTCCAGGTAGTAAATACATGTACATTTTGTATCATGTATTTTTCACTTGTTGAACTTGTGGAAGCACCGTTGGCCCCCGGTTAGGGGTCATCCGGGTAACCTATGCCCAATTTTTTCAAAATTAAGGATGCTAATAGAATTTTTTTTGAACATAAAGAGGGTAATTAAGTACAGATCTTGAACCTTTCTCCTGCCTTATACATCTGCAGTTGTACAGAAAATGTAGAACTGAAGTTGCAGGAAATGACCTCCATTTGTGTTTGGAAACGACAAAATGCAATAGCTTCGCACCCTCCCCCACCCTGCTATGAATTTCTGGGGAGATCCCTGTATATATATATATATATATATAGGCCTATGGGTTTTACACATTACTGCAAATTTGTATAGAGCATTTATTCAGCATATTGTAAATTTTTGTTCAACTTCAAACTCTATTAATGTAATCTTTCTGATAATTATTAAGCTTAAAAATCAAGGACTCTTATTTCAAAAACTTGATAGCATTGTTCCTGCTCAATGTATGCATGCAATGCAATGATAACAAATTGTGTGAACTCAGAGTCAGATCTCGAGTTAGAATATAGATGGCTAATGTACTAAGATATAGATTAGACTGTACGTGACATATACCCCATGTACATGTACTTTTCAATAACTTGTAAGAATGCAGGCTGATAATTTGGTACTTTCCTGAGGGTATGTTTATTCTGGGCGGGTATATTTTTTAGGTTTTAAAGATTTGTCGGGGGTACTTTTATTCCAGAGTCATGTTTATTTGGGATACATACACCGTGGGAACACATTTTAGTAGCATAAACAATTTGGCTTACATGTCAATTTTAAAATTTTCCGGGGGGTACTTTTATTCCAGGGGGTACTTTTATTACATTTTGAAGATTTGTCCGGGGGGTACTTTTATTCCAGGGGGTACTTTTATTCGAGAGGTGAGAGTACCAGTATGTAACGGTCATAATGTACCAAGACTCGACTGATGATTGAACTCACACAATCATCATCAATTGAACTCACACAAATTCAAGGCCAATCTATGCAGTAACTGTTGTATTAATTGCCAGAACTTCATTGTTTCGTAGTAATGCCGATGAATTAATGGAGTGATTGGGAGTAGCATGATTACCCCGTCTAGTCATTACCAGCCTGGGAATGGCAACACCCAGGACGTCCATCAGCACCAAGTGCATGTAGCAAATGGCCTGCAAATGGGCAGCATGGGTACTCAGACTGAATGACTGTATAACCCCAAGGGATTACAAGTACAAGTCCTACACTCAGTGATTTCACTACTGGCAATTCCTCAGTACATTTTAAGCCAACATTGTATTATGCATCTACAAGTTAGTACAACGGTGAAACCAATGCCTGTTTTTGTTTTTTTGTTAAATTGTTCCTCTTCCCCCTCAGGTGTTCTCAATTATCGTGTTTGGCTGCATTCCCTCCGTCGCTTGCATCAAGAATGACTGTATCTATAACGGCAATACGAACCCGATACAAACACCTGTTTGTTTGTTTGTTTGTTTCTTAATTTTTTGTGTTTTTGTCTCTTCCCTCAGGTATTCTCGATTATCGTGTTTGGCTGCATTTCCTCCGTCGGCTACATCAAGAACAACTGTATCTACAACGGCGACACAAACGCCTGTTTGTTTGTTTGTACACAAACACCTGTTTATTTGTTTGTTTTTCTTTCTCTTCAGGTGTTCTCAATTATCGTGTTTGGCTGCATCTCTTCAGTCGGCTACATCAAGAATGACTGTATCTACAACGGCGACACAAATGCCTGCCACTACGGGATCGGTATCGGCGTGATCGCGTTCCTGGCGTGCGTCCTGTTCATCTGTGTGGATGCCATGTTCGACAACTTCAGCAGCGTGCAGCAGCGCAAGTACATTGTGATAGGGGACATGGTGTTCTCGGGTAAGGCTCGCTTCTGTTGATTAAAAAAAGAAAGGCAAAAGATTGTTCCAATAAGCTTTTGAGGCTGTGGGTTGTCGATCCACTGTGTCTAAGGACAAGTACATTGTGATAGGTGACAGTCACTTCTGTTTAGAGTTAAAACTTTTGATCCAACACAAAGAAGTTCTCTCACCTATAGCTATCGACCAGTCACACTGGTCTTCCTCAGTAGACTGACCCAGTGAGACTTGTCACGTGGCTAATCTCTAAAATGTGACGTCAACACTGGGTCAAAGGTATCTGGTAGACGATGTCGGCCCCCGTCGCGGTTGAGTAAAGGATGATGGGCCTTGTGTTGGATTAAAAGTTTTAACATGTAACTACCAACACAGATGAACTTTCATGATAGTATAAGACTCACTTCTGTTGATTCTAACAAGAAAGGCAAAGAGGTAGTTTCATAGCTTTTTGAGGCCATAGGGTGAGTCCTGTGTCAGTTTGAATCGGGTCTTTCCACCTCTTGGGTGGTCTTCCCCGGGGTCTAGGATTTTTTATCCACTGTGTCTTAAGTTAAGACACCATCCGTCCGTCAGTCAGTCATAGGGGCAGTGCAAGTACATAGCTCTTAGATTTCCCACGCTGATTTTGACCGAGGTCTTTGAAATAGGCTCAGATGGTTTGGGCATGTGAAACAAAGACCAGCAAACACAAGTTGGTTTATAAGGCATACCACCAAGAGTTCCAAAACCCCAGACCCCGGGGAAGACCACCCAAGAGGTGGAAAGACCAGATTCAAACTAGGCTCACCCTAATAAGAGAAGCAGAGACTATTGCCCTTGATAGAGCTGGCTGGAGGAACCTGATGAAGGGGAGCAAGGGGCCAGTACCTGGCTTGAGCATGTAGGCAGGTTGGCAGGTTTGAAATAGAGCAAGGGGGTTTGACATGTTCGATCAGGAAAGGTCCATTGAAAGAATGACCAGAAAGTTCACTTTGAGAATCATTGGATGCCGTTGACTAACACTCCCCTGCCTTCCTCCAGGCTTCTGGACCTTCCTGTGGTTTGTCGGCTTCTGCTACCTGACGGACAAGTGGCGCAAGACGACTAATGATTGGCTAGACCAGAGGGGTTTCCATGACTACAGCACGGCCCAGGCAGCCATCGCCTTCAGCTTCTTCTCCATCATCTCTTGGGTAAGCAGCGACCTTTCACCCTGCACACAGCATGCTGGGAGAAGGGCAGATGTCACTTTGCACAGTGCAGGGCCCAAAATGGGAACACACTTGTAGTTTCTACTTAATAAATTAAAAATCTCTTGAATTTAGGTCCATTTTGGAGACTTTTGAGCTAGAAGGAACAGGTAGGGTCTTAACTTTCAAACTTTGGTCAAATTTTGATTCTTGTGATACAACATAAACAATAAAGTTTAGCAAGGGAAAACTTGCTTGAGGACACTTGCTTATTTTTAATATCAATGTTGGAAAACGGTTTGTACAGCATGTCATCACTCAGGTGTCAGATCATGGAGCTAGAAAAGATCAATCAGCTCAAAATATTTGTGTCCCTTGCAAGGTCCATAACCCAAAAAAGGCTAGGGTCTGCAGTTTTTGGTAGGGGCAGTTGAGATACATGTACAGAAAAAAAAAATTTTTTTCATTGACCTTACCTTTCTCCTTCATGAATGAGTGTTTATGAAGAATAGATGAATAAAAGTCCCAATTCCCCCACACAGGCCTGCCTGACGTTCCTGGCCATCAGGCGTTACCAGCAAGGCTGGGACCAGGCCTTCGCCCCCAGCTATGAGCCCGACCCTCAGATCCCGGGCGCCTCTCCATACGGCGGCTACCCCGAGCCGGGACAGGACCCAGGCTACCAGCAACAACCCTTCCAGGACCCGGGCACCCAGCCCCAGCCGGACTACCAGGCACCCGCTTACTAACAACCCACATACACCACACAACCTCACCCACCCTGACCACCCCCGCCTCGCAGTGCTGCGGTCCGACGGTGTAGGCAGTTATGGATGGTGACGGGCTGTTACATTCTGGATGTAGGGGATGTTGTGCACACAGTTTCCTTGATGTCTGTGTAAAGTGAGTTGTAGGGTTGGGTTAGGGGGTAGGTTGGGGTGGCTCGCACAGTAGTAGAAGGATGTGATAGATTATGTACTGTGTAAAAAAAAAAGAGGTGCTTTCCCACTAGAGACTTGCCAAGTAGGAACCTAGGTCCAAACTTTCCTTCTGATCAGCACTTTTTGCTGCCACTTGCTGCACTCTGATGTAAGTAAACGCAATGATCTCTCCTCATGCTGTAAACTGTGTACTAGATAATCCACCTCGTGTGATGCAGAACAGAGTGGTTAATAGCAGGATAGCCTCCGTAGCAGGCTTATAGAACTGAGGATTTTGTGGTCTTCAGCTGTTTTCTGATTAGCCCAGTTCTAAAAAAACGGGGTTAATTCAACCAGGCCCGGCTATGTTGTCTATATGCAATCAGAAAATAGCACATAAAGACCCTGAAGACCTCCCAAAACCCCCAGTTTTTGGCATGCTATGGAGGCTAATAGCAGGAGAAGAAATCAAGTAAATTTCACGTGTTTTCCATGTGTTTTAGTGGGTCCAAACCTTCCGATGGTGCTGTGTGCAGACTCTACTTCGTAGGCCAATTTCTGATAATGGTTCCTTCCTAAGTAAGAAACTATGGAAAAAGAAGACCTAACGTTTTGGCAGGGCACATATAGCAAGTCTGATTGCAGCATTGAGTCAGCAGCCTTTGTACCAATTTCACTTCACTTTGTCTCATACAGACACCGGTGTGGCTTAGACTTTTTTCCCAGAGTAACACTAAGAGCTGTGTCAAAGCTGAATTATTTTGTAGAAAAGATGGCATATTTTGAAAGCCGTGCTGAACACTTTTTCATGATTTTTCTAGCACACAACACAGTTTGACTTACGCACGCCATTTTGCAGTCTAGCTATAGATGCACAGAACAAAATGGTTTCTGTTATGAACCAAGTTGAAACCTATTTACTACTTACCAAGTCTCTTCTGGAAGCTTCGCAAAAAGTGAGAAACTGCCAAAATCTGTTCAACATGTCCCACATGTGGAAAGTTGTCGTGAATATTGACGATACAAAGTAGCACATACTACAAGTGTCCTATAATCGTAACATGACAAAAAAACGGTGTGCAACAGTCGTTCCTCTCTGTACTGTGATTCCCCATAAATAAATTCACAGTACTCGGGGCTAGTTTTGATGCAGGTACATGTATAACCAATGTCTCATCCTTGTATTCCAAGAGAAAGCATGTTGGCAGAAGGTACTGCACCTGCGCGAAACCTGTAATGCATTGTGCATAGCACTTCAGCAGAATGCCTCATATAAGGTCGTACTTGCACATATAAGGTTAACAGCCCGTCGGTAGTTTCCAAATGTTATGTCGGAAAAGATATCCTCTGCAACAGGCAAAATTCTAATGCAACATTGACCAAAAATCCAACGAAAACCGTGAAAAATCAGGGTTTTGCGAAGGCGCAGTACATTCTACCAACATGCTCCAAGAGAACACACTTCTTTCTTGTTACCAAGGCAACAAGAGGTCATGTGAAGGCAGTTTCTCACCTTTTGTCCTAAGTGATGTTATGTGTAGGCTGTGTGAGATAGGATAGTAGGGTAGATCAGAAACAAGGTATTCTTGTAATATTGGTGGTGTGGAGCGATATATGTATATAAATATATATATATTCAAGACTATGTTTGGAAGTATGGTATCATTCATATTTTGGCCCATCCGTTTTGTAAGCATATGAAATTTAAATCAGTAGTAATTTTCCATTTTTTTCCATGTTTTCCCTAAGTTTTTCTCCAAAACAGCCAAATGGCTGATATTCAAAATTAATGATTACCAAAACCTGAATAGAAGTCACAGTTATGTTGTTACCATGTAGTTTGGATGAATTTGAGCTTGTTTCCAATCATTTTATTTCCACCATCAGAGAACTATTATTATTATATGAAATATGGAGCACTTTATGTTGAAAATTTGTGTTGAAGCATTTATGTCATTGAGAGGTGTGATTTGAAGGTATATTTTTGCATATCATTGCATTCTGATAAGTTCACTGTATAATTTTTTTCATATATCTTTAGATTATATGCAGACAGCATAATTCTTGATGAACTTGACTATTTTGTTGACATAGAGTCATGATTCCCTTTGCGAGCTATCACAGTCTCTCAAAAACTGTGTTCCACCCAAAGTTTTACTTTGTGTTTTTGTTTGCAGAAAGCAATAGAGTATTACTTAAGTGTTTGCAGGTTTTTAGTTCACCTGTGTGTAGATATATAAGAAGGAAAGGGCTTAGAAGCCTCAGAGAGGGTCATAAGGAGTAAATGAATTGGTGACATTTGGAAAGAGAGATTATAGTTGATTGCAAAAGGAGAGTAGGACTGAAAAGAATAGCAATACTAACTGTGTACAAGTGTTGAACTGTTTGTATATTGTGAAGACTTAGTAAGGAGATGATGCGTTGTGTGACTGTGTGTATGTGGTGTGTAGAATTCACTATAGAGTTGGGCAGCTAAATGTACTGTATGTAGAACTTCATGTTGTCACAACGGTGTGCTGAGGCATAGGTATGGCATTTATATCCGGCTATAGGTTCATCGGGTTGGTAAATCGCTGGTAGAAAAATTGCACACAGTCTAAGAGTTAAAACCTAGCCTACGTTTCAGTGATTGTCTGTTACAAGATGATACTAGTACACATTTTGTGACTGCATTCTTTACATTGCATCAGTAACACCTAGTTACAGTGCAAAGTAGAGCCAGTATTTCCCTGAGGAAGGTGACAGACGGTCACCGAAACATCAGATAGGTATTAGCTCTGGTTATGTACACAAAACTTTGGTATCCACCGGATTGCATCTAGTTTTGACAGTTTTTTTTGTTACAGCTGCAATTGATTTGTTACAGTTTCAATACAATGTTGCCGTTCGACAGTTTTACTCTTTTGTGAAGTGGGTAATGCTTTGTATGGACTGTATACACATCTCTAACATGCAAGTATCGTAGGAACAGAGTTGCATTGTATAGAAATGCTGGTTTGTGTTTCAATACTGTACTTACTATGTGGTATAACCCTCGGCTTCTGTGCTATGATGACTTCTCCTACTATAATAAACAGTAAGCTGTAGAAGGGATGCCCAGTAGAGTTGACAGTTCACTTTAAAATCAATCTCCAAGCAGATCCTACGGTGGCAAGGCGGTATCCAATCTGCCAAGCAGTGGACCAATGGACATAATGTGCCTAATAGACACTGCTAGGCCTTACCACCGTAGGATCTGTTTGGAGATTATTCAAACTTACCAAGGGCTGTTTTGTAGTTGCTGGTCCAGAAAGACCTATGCATGTTGTTTGAAGCAACGGTTTTCTTTGACCACATATTACACTGCTTACTCCATGTAGGGTAAGGTACATCAGGAACACCAAAAACTATATGCCCATCACTGTTCATTGGTTTTCAAAACCATGGACCAACCCTACATTGGAGAATTCCAATTACCAAGGCATATACATACCATTCGTTTTGAAGCCACCCTGACGCAATTTCTGCACTAAACAAAAGGCCTTGGGACTTTTCAGCAGAAAAAAATATCTTCAGACATCCTAAATGTATAAGTTATCACAAAGCTTGCAAGGCAAATAGCAAAGACGAGTTTTAGGAAGTCGAGTTAGACCCACGTCGTACCAACCTTTATGTGAATATCAGTGTTGTGATTGTGCCTAGATGTTCTACTAAAGTGTATAGATATATACATGTATACTCTGCCGTAGCCGTGCCCTAAACGTTTGGAGATGTATTACGTAAATCCACTGGAAAGTTACTTGTAAAAGTTGTCATTGCTCAAGTCCGAATGCAGTGTGTTATTTTGCCATGATGCTGAGATATTGGTCACCGTTTAACGTTTGCCAATTGCTCCTGACCAACGATTTGTGTGGCGTAGTTGAGTTATACAGCAAGATGTGTTTTTTTGTTTAAAGTTAAAACTGTTGATCCAACACAAAAAGTTCTCCCACCTAGAGCTTTCGACCTGTCACTCTGGTCTTCCTCAGTAGACTGACCCAGTGTTGACGTCACACTTCAAAGAAGCCACGTGACAAGCCTCACTGGGTCAGTCTACTGAGGAAGACCAGAGTGTACTGGTCGAAAGCTCTAGGTGATTTTTTTTGTGTTGGACCAAAAGTTTTAACTTTAAACATGTAACTACCAACACAGATGAACTTTCATGATAGTATAGGATGTGTTTTTTGTTTTGTACTCGTCGCGAACCACATGCATATAAAAGAGAAGTCTGTATATCTAGTTTGGTGTGTAAAGGAAATTCCGGTCACCGTAGGTTGGATGGGAACTACGTGTAGATGAGACGTTATGACGACAATAAAGTATCTTGGGAAAAAGATTGATGTTGTCATTTACTTTATAATAAGGCGAGTGGCTAGGGCAAGAGGACACGAGATCGGGAAGTCATGGGTTCGATTCTTGTCTAGACACTGTCCTTAGCTTGGGATGTGTAGAATTGGTACCTGATTTCGGTTGGGGAGGTAAAAGGAGAGGGATGGACGTCAATAATAACCTACAATATAACCAACAATAATACCCTGCACGCAGTGGAATAACACCCTAATGCCCCTATGACCTAGAAAAGGCCGCGGAACTATCTTTACTAGTTTCTTCAATAAGGATAAACCTTATTGAAGAAATGCGTGATCAAGGTGTACAGTCGACACCGAAAATTTGGAGGTACGTGATTTTACCTTACAAAAACAGTCACTGATTGAAGAATTGTCTACTAACTTAATTCTACGTGACTGATGAACCTTTTCAACTATATTCAATAAGGAACATTTAATTTACTTCAATTTATCACGCCTATAAATACGTCTTCTAGGAGCCAGTACAAGTCGATGACCTGCGTTTTCTGCGGAGACGTCATCCTTGGTAAAATGAAACAGGGATGTGCTCCGCCTTCCAATACCGTGTCCTACTGTAGACACAGTTGATCAACAACCCACTGCCCGAACGAGCTACATGTGTGAAAGGCTATGGGTCTTAAGGAACGTAACTTCAATCTACTCCGTTTGTATGTCTTCTATCAGTCAATGAACTTCTAAGAGCAAGAGCCGGCCCTCCTGGACCAAGGCCATCGTCTGCCAAGACAGAAGGAGGCCGATGACAAAGCAAGTATCAGCCGATGACCTGCGTTTGCTGCTGAGAAGTCATCGACCTCACGACACGCGCCGTGCATGTTTTTTATGGGGTTGGAAACAGCATCTGACAGTTTGAGGGCGGGAAGCGGTCAGCTCACGAACCCGGCCACAAGTCTGCAAATGGGTCAGAAGCTACATGGACAAGGCCTCTGCTAGGCAATTATGTCGTGCTAATTCAGTAACCGTGTCGAATTCAATGTGGAAATACCCGAAGTGACTGACACCGTTTAGTAAATCTGTTCACGTTGCTAACTGATGAGGCCAAATGATCAGGTTCACTGGCTGGCACTGCATAATGAAATCTTTTGCTCTATTTTGTCAACAGAATATATTTAACCTTCGTGCTCGCAACACTTGGCAGCTCTTAATGACCAGAACTTTGTGACACAATACTTCTCTTCCTGCAAGATGAGTAATCCCTTCATTGTTCTGTAAAATCACGGATCTCTACAAGTCGTAGCCTCCGTACCGGGCTTATAGAACTGGGGGTTTGGTGGTCTTCGGCTGTTTTCTGATTAGCCCAGCTCTAAAAACGTGGGTAATTCAACCAGGCCGGCTATGTTGTCAATATGCAATCAGAAAACAGCACATAAAAGGTCCTAAAGACCCTGAAGTCGCCCAGTTTTTCGCATGCTATGGAGGCTGACAAATCGCTCAGTGTCTCCGAATCAAGGACATCAATCCAAGATAGCGTGCTTTCTGATGGATGGTGACAGCTTCGGTCTTTTCCTTTGTCCTCACCTGCATCAATTACCCTAATGTTTGTGCCTGAAATAACAGAACTACAAATAACCGTCCGAGGAAACAATGGTGCAGTTTTCTCCATGGTACCGGACGGCTTCTTTGCGTGTGGATTGGCTGACTCGTCCTTCTGGTAGATTCCTTGGCGCACGCATCGCTTGTACATGTTTGTGTCTCATAACCGGTAAACCGCCTTTAGGTGTAACACACCAGTTTGGTACAGTAAGTACAAGCTGAGTTAGACCAGACTGTAGGGTTTGAACCATTCACACCGGGACGGATCCCTAGTGTTTTCGATAAGCGCGGTGATCAGTTGTAAGCGTGCTCGAGATTTGGCTCTCCTCAAACACAGGACCTCCAGTTTGGTACAGTGAGTACAAGCTGGGTAAGACCAGACTGTGAGATTGAACCGCTCACACTAGCAAGGACTCCTAGTGTTTTCGACAAGTGCAGTGGGATCTTTCACGTGCCCCAGGTGTGGCTCTCCTCAAACTTAGCACCTCCAGCTATACGTACCATCCGAGAGGACTTCCCTAACCGAAGCAAGGTACTCATTTTTACCCGAGTCGAGTGAGGAAATAGGTGTAAACTTTCTCTCCGAAGGACACAACACTGAAGCCTGCCAGGGATTCAAACCTTTAGATCCCGAGTCCACAGCCCTTACCACCGGACCACGTCGCCACCGCCTATCCGAGAGGACATCCCTTACCGAAGATAAGTACTCATAATTTCACCTGAGTCGAGTGAGGAAAGAGGTGCCTTTCCAAAGGACACAACACTGTCACCGGGGCCTGCCTGTATTTAAACCACAAAGTCCAAACTCCTAACTATCGGACCGCCTTCCCACCGCCCGTGCTAGTTTGTGCCCGATGGCTTCCTTCCGGCTGTGGTGCGCGGCGTGGCTCGCGCTGATGTTACGGGGAGGCGCGGCACAGTTCCACCCGGTCTCCTCGGGACAGGAGTTCCCTCGAGCCGCGACCTGGGACCGGACCCTTGTGGACATCCCCCACCGTCTTCTGTGCCACGAGCTGTGTCTTAAAGACGCCTCCTGCGCCTCCTTCCAGTACAACCTGACGTCTCGGGAGTGCCGGATCAGCATCGCGGCGGATGGCCTGGAAGACCGTCCGGACGATGAAGTAGACGATTCGCTGCACCATCTACCGCTTGGCGGCCTTCTGCCTACGGCGCAACACTCTGTGAGTAGAGCCTTGCATTCCCTGTCCATGGTGCTGAAACGTTCGATGTGGTATTCAGAATCATGCTTTATCCAGAACCATGTTCAGACACGGTTTCGGATAGTCCAGAACCGTGCCCGGAGCAAATGCCTGTGTTCTTTAATACGCGGATATTATCCAGTACCGTACATCCTATTTCTACATTGACGTAAGTTTCTGAGCGAATGGTCTTAAGTTAAATTAAACCCTTTTTCCTCCCCAGGACCCCGACTGCTACTCGGAGCAGGCCGCCTGTACGCCCGGCCAGGTGTGCCGGGACAGGTGCGACAATGACGGCGTCTTGGACTGCACCTGCCGGGCGTCCTCGTGGGCCAGGCCGGAGTGCAAGTCCACGGGTAAGGCACAAACCTTGTCTCTTTATCATTTTATAAGGTAAAACGCAAGTATCCATAATACGAATACATCTTAAAACTAGAAAGGCCAATATTTGCTTTGGAGCAAATACAGCAATGGCTTCACCACATTTTACGACATGGCAGGGAAAGAATGAGAAACACAAGGGAAAACAATGATTACATTGATATAACTATAATATGAAGTAACATACAACTAAAACAACAGTTGGATAGCTATTCCCTACTTTATTGGTTAGGATTTTTAATTGCATAATGCAAACTGTTGATTTTCAAAATAAAATAAAAAACGTTCATGCCCCGCATTCCAATGCTGGAGCAGAAAAGCTTGAAATACCTACCAAAACACTTGAATAAAGACATACTGTCAGTATGGAAATGCTCTGTGCAGGTGTTAATCAAGTTAAATCCCAACAGCCAATCAGCAAGAAATGCTCTGTGCAGGTGGAAATGCTCTGTGCGGGTGTTAATCAAGTTAAATCCCAACAGCCAATCAGCAAGAAGTATAGAGGAAAGCTGCATGCCTATTGGTTGATGCCCTGCATTCCATTGTGATGACTCATGCCCAGACGTGGTAAACACGGCACACTAACACAGTAATACATTTGCTATAACACAGCCAAAAAACTCAAATAAAACCATTCTAAAAGCCTGTATCACAAAAATTTAAAAAACGCCTAGGGGTATTTGCCCACTGTACCTCCATACCAAATTTCAGGACCTTAGGCCCTAAAATGAAGAAGCTGAATCCATTTAAAGATATGGCAGGAGGAGAAGGAGGAGAAGAAGAAACATCAGAAAAAGCAATATGGGTTCACCACCACTTCGTGGTGTGGTGAACCCATAATAATGCAGAACTCTTATGTATATAGGAAAGACACACAAATAATAGGACAGATAATCTAGTTGCATAGTAAATCATAACTGTGTAGGAAGAAAGCGTTCCTGTAGAAGGTGTCTGATCTTAGTAAGCGAGTATAGTTTGATATAGTTTTGTTTGATGTCGTCTTCAAAAGAGCTTCTTGTTTCATCACTATACACATTATGCATAGTGGGAGGACTATATTGACACAACAAAAGTAAGTGGACGTTCATCAACCAAAGTGGGCTATCTCTGGGTTTTCTATGACGATAAATTCACATTCACATTACATTTTTTAAAATTCAAAATTGTATCCCTACTTACTTTTGCACAGTAGGGGCCTGGGGCATGCAAACGCGTATATGAATCGGTACGTTTGGAAAGAGAACGGGCTGTCTACCTGAATGCACTTCATGTGTTTCATTTCACAAATTAATAAGGTCTGATTCAAGGGAACGGTCTGGTGTTCCGCAATCATCAGCTGCCCACTGACATCAATACAGGGTCAGTCACGGAGCCATGACGTCATCAGTACGTCATCAGTAGAGCATGCTGGGACGGTTCCAGCCAGCACGTCAGCAGAACGTACTGCACCTGCGCGAAACCCGTTGTGTCGTTGTGCATAGAACTTCGGCAGAACGCGTACTTAATTGTATACTGTATTATCTCTTGATGTTTAGTATTTGCATGTAGGATGTTAATTCTCATTCTATACCCTTTCCTTGTTGTACTATGTCCAGTGTAAAATTGTCGTGCAATAAAGTTCTTTTATAAGGTGTATTCGCGTACTAAGTAACGGGCAACGGGCAAAATTCCGATGCAACGTTGACCAAACCCCCGGCGAAAACCGTGAAAAATCAGGGTTTCGCGCAGCTCCAGCCCCATGTCGTGCGTCAGATACCGAATATCGCGTGTAAACCTGTCACTTTTAATGCTAGAATTAAAGCATCAAGACACTTCCCGCAGCTGAGAACATCGCGTGTTCCTTTTGTCAGAAAACCGTCCGGACGGATTCCTGGATAGATGGATCGCCTCAGCCCTGACGCAAGCCCCTGACAGTCTTAATTTGCAGACGACAAAGCGAATAAATTCTAACAGACGGCTCGCATTGTTTAACTCAAGCTCGTGCGCTGTCAGGCAGGATTTGTCTGGTCTATCCGACACGTGTTGTCACGAGAGCTCCGGGCGAGGCGGATTGTTTCTGACAGTTCGGAGATGTTTGATGTTATCCTCTCGTGACGGCAACTACCGATAGACAAAACCTGACAACACCGCGTGATGGTGTGGGATCAAGACATTGTTCTGTTGATATTATGTTCACATTAGTATAAAAATCACGAAGACACGGTTGTATTTTTTTTATTTCTATCATTGCCAAATCATCTTCTGGTAGCGCCTATCCCAGAAAAATTATGAATTCAAAACGGCAACATCCGAAGAATAAAAACTGACAACACCGCGTGATAGTGTGGGGATCAAGGCATGGTTCTGTAGAATTATGTTATTGTCGGTATCAGAAATCACCAAGTCACGGTCGTATATTCATTATTGCCAAATCATTGTCTGGTAGCATCATTAGTTTCGCAGATTTCAAATTGGCACACTGGTTTCTACAACATTTGTTTGCTTGGTTTTCTCCGCCAGTGTTGGGTAATGTTTGTTTGTTTGTGCCAGGGTTAGATAACGTTTGTTTATTTGTTTGTTTACCTGTACCAGACCTGGGTACCTGGGAAGACTGGGGTCCGTGGGGAGACTGCTCTGTAACCTGTGTTTGTTTGTTTGTTTGTTTGTTTACCTGTACCAGAGCTGGGTACCTGGGAAGACTGGGGTCCGTGGGGAGACTGTTCTGTGAGCTGTGGAGGCGGGGTGAAGAAGCGCATGCGCACCTGCCGTGACGAGTATGACGGGAAGACGTGTGTCGGACGGGATACTGACGTCAAACTGTGCAAGACGAAAAAGTGTCCAGGTAACAGCGATATGGACTTCATTTAACTTCCATTAGGATATGCGAATATAATCGTTCAGAATACAGATAAATGCAAAAGGTAAATGTGCCTGGACTGTGACTGCTTTGTACATATACATGTTTGTAACATTATTTGTATATTATTGTATTTAACTTGTAATTTTATGAATGTACTTTTTAATGTATGTGCCCAGGGATATCTGAAAAACAGATCAACGGATCTGAGATATACTCTGATAACTTGACTTGAAAAGGCTACTTATAGAATTCCTACACAATTCGTCTATAGTTTGAGGTGACCCTTAATAAAATGCGCGTTGTGATGTGAATGTGTAAAACCGTATCTAGACCGG